GTTCCTTGTCCTGTCTGGAGCCCTTAGGTTCCTTGTCCTGCCTGCGCAAGTAGTGGGACTTTGCTTTAGCCTTCAAAGAAGGACGTTTAGATGGATTGTCGTCTGCCATGTTAGGTAACAATACTAGCAAAGGCGGTTGGCTCGCCCAGAATAGGCCTGGATGAGGCCGGGTGAAGGTGAAGCTGGCCCTCTCCCCCTTTTGGAATTTGTAGTGTACAGAGATAACAGTGAGGTATCTGAACAATATAGTATGTACAGGAAAAAATAGATACTCTATTTGTAATTCCTTTGATTTCTTTTTGTTTGTTCTTTTTATCTTTTTATCTTTTTATCTTTTTTTTTTTTTTTTCGTACGCAATATATATACAGGTTATCCGTAAATGTCTATATATCTATGAAAAAAAATTATTACTGTACAAAAAAACAGAAATTATTATTATTATTATTATTTTGCAAATATATTCCTTTTATTCTCGAACAGTAGCAGTAACTGGTATCTCAGTACAGGCCGGATCAGTCAAATAAACGCCTGAGGCCTATGTAGAAGAGAGGGCCTCTGGCAGCAGGCCTCCAGACAAGGGAAAACAAAACCGGAGGGGGGGGGCTGCAACTTCGCCCCGAAACGGACTGCGAGAGGCCAACTAAGATAAAAGAGCGAGCCAGGTAGAAAGAAATGGGCAGCAAAGCTTGACCCAAGGCCTGGGGCTCTAATTCACCGCAGCTAGAACCAGAAAAAAAGGCGCCCGACCACGAGGCGGAGCCAAAATGGCGACCGCGAGCTGAACCGTCGGGGACGCCTTCGGGACGGAAAAGGAGGGCTTTGCCGGTCAGCTCGGCACGCCTAGGGCCTTAGGGGCAATAACCCTCCCGGTCGGCGTTTGGGGTGGGGGGGAATCCAGCAGTAAATGAAAGTAAAACAACGCGTGCCACGAGGCAACGCGGAGGCAGCGATGCGATCTGATAAGGACGGGGGGGGTAGCGCTAAACGCGCTGCGAGCCCGCAGCTTCGTCTCAGGGACGAGGGAAAATTTTCCCTTAAGTCCAGACCCTTTGCGCAGGAGGAGAAAGAAGGCAAACCTTATCAGAAAGAGAAATAGGAAGGAATCTGCGATCAGCCAAGGAGCTCTCTAACACACAGCCTGACTCTTCGAGGCTGAGCAAAAGACTGGGGAGGCGCTCCGCGATGTCACGTGAGGGGGCGGAGCGTTTCCTCATCTAAAGCTCAGCCTGCAAGAAGAGGACTCGGAAGCACATCCCAGTCTCTGGATGCTCCGAGCGGCTCGAGGGAGAATACATGATGATTGGGTTCTTTTAATAAAGACACTTTTAATTTTTGGAAGTTATAACTCAACTCTCTCCTAGAAAAATGAAATATTTTAGGATATACTAAAAAGGCAGAATATTTCCCCTAAAAGAGAAGTAGACCCCTGGGGGGGGAAAACCCACCCCCCCCCCCCCTTTGTTAAAAGGGCCATTAAGGCCTGGGCCAGTCTATTTTACATAAACAAAGAACTACCTTCTTCAGACAGACCCATAATAGGAATCACCCAAAGCCCTTTCATTACATCATCATCCAGCAAGGCTCAACCAAGCCTGGGACTCAGGACAGCCTACAGCAGTGATCCCCAACCTTTTTTACGCCGCGGCCCGGTACTGGCATCGGCTGGGCACCGCGGCCCGGTACCGGCATTAGCTGGGCGCCGCCATCTTTTTTTGATGAAAAAGTGCTTCCGGTGAGCTTTCTACCTGGAAAAGCTCACCGGAAGCGCTGGAGCCGCCATCTTTTTTTGATGAAAACGTGCTTCCGGTGAGCTTTCTACCTGGAAAAGCTCACCGGAAGCGCTGGAGCCGCCATCTTTTTTTTATGAAAACGTGCTTCCGGTGAGCTTTCTACCCGGAAAAGTTCACCGGAAGCACTTTTCATCAAAAAAAGATGGCGGCGCCCAGCAAGCCAGCGGCCCGGTAGGAGTTGTTCCGCGGACCGGTACCGGTCCACGGACCGGTGGTTGGGGACCCCTGGCCTAGAGTTGCCCCTGCATGGCCCCCTGGGAGTCTGACAACCAATCAGAATACAAGCTCAAATTCAAATCCCAACAGAGATCATAAAACCAAAGGACTCTCAGCATTTCTTTTTCACCCAGGAGCTCCAAAGCATGTGATCGTGTCCACCAATAAACCATCTTTCCAAACAGCCTCCATGTTTCTAGTGTCTTTTTTCCCCACTTGGACCTTAGAAAGATATTTCTTTCAACATAATAAAGCAAATCACATCCTTCCTAGCCGATAGCTGTCCTCTTCATATGTAAGATTTCTATTATCTAGAAACCTGTTGCAGGCCATTGTGCCAAAACTATACATTAGTTTCAGGCTTCTTCTGTCCTTCCTTTGCTATACTTTAAAAAATATATCCAGAATTTGACTTGGATGCTTACCAATAAGTCCTCTGATCTATATCAACATTCTCTCCATGTGAGGGCTCTGAATCCCTGAATTATTTAGAAGACTGAAAGATACATACCAATGGCATATGGCCATGTACATGTAGATTCTTTTCCATGTAGATTCTTTTCTTCTGACAGTTAGGCTGAGCATGCATAAACATTGCAAGGAAACTAGTATCACTTAAGTGGAATTGGGTGGAGGTGGGGGAGGTTGTAGCAGAACTTTCATTGTAATACATTCCACTTTAGATCATGCCTGAACAATGATCTAGTTATCTTGTGATCTGCTATTGAGGACTTTCCCAAATGGTCCAAAGTTTTCTGCTACTTTTTATGTTTGACATTTCTGCCAAATTAGATCTCAGCTGCTTGGTAACACAAATTTGTCATTTAGATACTATTCTTTCTTGGCTTCTAGTACTGGCATCTTATTACTGAAACATCAGTAGAATTATCTGTGAATACTATAACCTAACTCAGTAACAATACAATGTAGATTATATTTAAACAATTACACTAAAGAATGGCTCCTTTTGAGCACTCAAGTGAACTTTTTGGAATACAGAAAATAAAGGCAACTGGATACAATTGCCTACCTATTACTGAACACCTTGGTTGTAGATTGACATTTACGAGTTACATTTTTAGTATTATTTCACATTTAAGAATCAATAATTTCTAGCAATATTGTGAAATGGAGTTTGCTGGGACTTTCATGTCTGTACAAATCAGTTAAATTCCCTGTTTTGGATTAAGTCTCAGTTGTAATGAAAAACCCTCATATGTATTATTGACACTTAAATCAAGCACTGGAAAATATATAATCCTCCAGATGTAGAACTATCATTTGCAATATATTTTTCACCAGTGGCCATGCTCTCTGCACTCTGGATATTTACATTTTGTTAGAATTGTTTTATAGTGCTATATCCATGCTATTTTTTATATGAAGACTGGAAGGATACATATTCCTAAGAAATGTAAACCAGCTTAGCAGCTTTTTTTATTAGCAGAACAATGTAGCCCTTCTATTGGGAAATGTTTTATTTAAATAAAATGGAACAATTTATTGGAATAAATTGCATCATCCCAAGAGCTGAAATTATCTATATTTCCTGACCAAATTCCCAAAATGGAACTTTGAAGCATATATTCAGTAAATCTTATTCATATACAGGATGTCTGTTGCTTTCTAACAACTCCCTGACACTCTGCAGACTTTTCTAATCAGTTCACAATGGCATTTATAAGGCAAGAATAATCTACAGTATATTAGTAGCAAAAAGTCAATGCCAGCATACAGAGCACACTGGAAAGCTAAGGATTATGATGATAACAAATTGAGATAATTCCTCTTTATCAATGCATTTATATTTTCAGAGTAACCCTGCAAAGCCAAATTTCATGAAGCACTATGGTGGAAGCATTTCAAACCTATTCTTTTTTTGTGAATATAAATAAATGGTCATTAGCCAGCTGCAGTTACATTACTGCATATAAAATTGTAGCTAAAAGAGTCATCTCTGAATCTCCAAACCAATACAATAATCTCTAATGATTTCTTACAATACAAATTATGGAGAAAATCTGTTAACTAGGTAACTGCTAAAGAATATAAAAAGTCAATAACGTAATAACATAAGATTGTTCCATTTAAGATATTGAAGGTTTTTAATATTGATCATGAAAATAGTTCTTTCCTAGCTCATATATAGACAACCCCCATTTACTGCATTTAGTGTTCAAATCTTAGTGCATTTGGTTTTGCTGATTCTATAGACTTCAGCAAGTCTTATTTTTAATTTACATTTGTTTCCAGAAAAATCTGCCCAGATATTTCAATTAATTCAGTAAGGATCCAGATTGACCAAGGCCTTTCCAGAAATTTTTCAAAATGTACTACCTCTTGCAATTAGATTATCAAATCTGGCAGAATAAAGTAGAATAACATCGTAGATATACCATACATTATGGCAAAGGATGTTTATGTGGTAGAGGAAATATATATAAGCAAAATGTTTATTAATATTCTGATGCTTACTAGAAACTAGCAACAGCATTTCTTCAGTTTTGAAGATGTTATAAAATACCGTAATTTAAAATTAAAAGGTGAAAAGTATATAGAGGGAAAGGGAAAAAAGAGATCCAAATGCAATGCCCTTCCTATAAAATATTGCTGATTTCTCATCCAAATTCTTATGTGCCTTGCATAATAAACAACACTGTATCTACTCTGAAACTTGACGAACTATTTGACTGCCAGAAGTGTGTGGTGGTGGGATATACCAAGCCTTAAGAGACTATTTTGAAAAAAAGCAATTAAAATATCCAAAGCCTTCCATATATAAATGGTTGATTTAGAAACACAGTAACTTGGAATTGATGGAATAGGTAGTCAACAAATTGTTAACACAAATACTTCTGTTCTTAACATACTTTCATGTTTATAGCAATTGTTTATGATAAAACTCTACTCTGGCCCCACTCCAGATCACTGTTTCCATGCAATACCATGATTGAAAACCCCAAGCAGCACTATCCATATCACCAGTCTAAGCGCATTGTGCAAATATATCAGCTTTATTTCTCTTTTGTGGAAATAATTACAGGCATTCAGGTAGAAACATATTAAATTAATGCAGTCTAGAGTTTAAATGCAAAAATAAATATAAAGTCCAGCAGCTGATTGCATTCATAAAACTTCCATCTTCCCCTTCAACGTTTAGAAAAAGATGTGCAATGTTTTAAATATTTTCTTCATATTGCAAAGAAAAAAAAAAAAACCTCAAACAGCCAGGCTAGAAACATACAAGCACTTTTAACCCAAATAAAATATTTCTCTCTCAAGACTGCGCAGATTTGCAGACTGCTCTTCGAATTTACCACATTCGTAGTGGATCTTAGGGTTGATAAAGAAAAAAAGAAAAGAAAATAATTGGAGGTGGGAATGGGATTCCGTCTTGTCAAGTCCTTGCAAGGATTTAGATTTATCATACAATATAAACCGGAGCGTCGAAAGGCTATTCTTGTGCGAGGAGGGGAAAGCCGAAATGAAGGTTTATTTGTAATCAAGTCTTTTCAGAAACTGTCCCTTTTTTTTTTTCCCCTCGCCCCCTTCCACAGAGTTCCTCCGCCAACTTCAGTATGAAGCAGAGAGCCGGGGGTGCGGTGGGGCGGTTGCACAGTCCAGGATCTCTCCTGCGGTGGGTGAGGCGCGCCCGAGCCCAGTCGAGGCGCAGCTCCCGTCTTCAGAGAGCCGAGTCGGAGTCCGAGGAGTCCAGGCTGTTCCTCAGGCGGCTGCAGCTGCTCAGCTTCTTCTCCTTCTGCAAGCTGAGGTTCTGGGTGCTGCGGCGGAGGCACTCGAGGGACTGCAGGAAAGACTTTTTGGCTTTCTCCTCCTCCATGGGGGAGACCCCTTCCTCCTCCACCTCTTGGATCTCGTCGAAGGTCACCGGCTGCGTCTTGAAGCGGGACTGGCGGGGTCTGCGCAACTTGCCTTTGGCCAGCTTGGCGGGCCGGATCGGTTGAGGGAATTCCTCGGCGATGCACAAGAAGTGCGGCATCACCGCCTGGTAACTCGAGCAGATGCCCATTAACTCGGCGGGCTTGGCGGCGGCGGCTGCTGCCATCCTGCTACCTTCGATCCCCGCTTCCGCGCAGGGTCGAGGCGCGACACTCCCGCTCGCGTTCGGCACCGGCCGGTTGTGGCTGCTTTCCCTGTGGGGACTCTGGCTCCGCTCCGTGACGCTTGAAGTAGACTCCCCGGGAAGGAGCAGAAATTGCGCGGGAAAGCCGCCGAGGACTCCGCCGACTCTTTTTATGTATCTATTTATTTTAACGCCGAGGACCCCGCCGAAAAGGAGCACGGCGCGTTCGAAGCTCCTGACCGCTCCCACCGACTCGCGTCGGCTCTTTGCTTGAGAGCTCCGCGCTGCGTCCCAGCCTTTTTTATACCCCTCGCCGGCCCAGTCAGGAGCATGCCCAGATGACACGTAATTCCATTTAAAGGCGATGAGGCTGCTTTCCTTCCGCCTGAGGTCTCCACGTCTCTCTCTCTCTCTCTCTTTTTTTTTAATAAAAAAGCAACAATAACAAAGTAACGGGGACAACCCCCGCGGTCACCCACTGCGGAGTCACAGGAAGCGCTTCTGCATCTCCGACGACACACACTGACACTCACGCACACGTTTCGCAGGCGGTAGAGAGAGACGGGGGGGGGGTTGTGTGTATGTGTGTCCTCCCCCGCAGCCAGAAACGCAGCTTCGGAGACGCCCGTGCCGAAATCTAGGGCTAGGCGGGCGCATCAACCTGGAAGCTGCGTGCCGGGATCCCCACCTTCAAACACCGGTTTAAACAACTTTGACGAAGCCCCGGGGGCGGCGATCTGCTTTTGCACCTGGCAGCCCCTCACGACTGGACGTGTCGTTGTTTAAACCTGGACCTGTGGCGGGGACGTATATATTCTTTCCCGACCCCAACTTTCTGATATTCCTTTCCAGTGTTGTTGTTACCCCGTTTGCAATCGAGAAGAGAGGCCGTGTACTTAAGCCTACGACGTTTGGGAGAGATAAACACGACATTGTTGCTTCCCGGGTCGCTGACTAAAGCGAAGCTTAAGCCTTGTCGAATGATAGAAAGGTGGAGTCGGTTTCTTTGGGCTCACTCCCGTGTCACGCCCGCCTCCGATTTTGTTTTGGTGGCATCTACAAGATCTCAAGAGGTCCCATGCAGCCCCGCGAGTCTGTTTTGGTGGCTATGGTTGCTTCATAATATTATGCAGGAGAATAGTAAGTTTGTGAGAAGGGATTCAGGTAATTTGTTACAGTAGTGCAAGAAAAAGAGCACCCATAGAGTACGTTGTATAGATGCCTCAAGTCGAAAAGCTAGATAAATTGGTTAAAAACATTTCAAGTGACTAAAAAGCACTCAAGTAAAAATAAACACAATTAGCCATATCTTGACTATAATAAGCCAGTTTCAGAAGTGCACATGTTGTGCATGTTGTTTCCTGTTTTCTCCACAAATCTCAGGACCTCAGGCAATGCTGTCATATTTGCATCTAAAGACCATACAAACATACCCTGCTGGCAACATTTTAGGCCACGTCTCATGGTGTTGTTTTCATCTTGTTCTCAGCCCAGGAGTAGTTAGTTAATAAAGCCAGGAGTGAGACAGGTATACATTTTCCTTAACTGTATTTGTACAAATATTTACCACCTTAGCCCATCACCATCCATAGGGAACCTCAAGGGCTTTAAAATACATTCTACATTCCTCATTAGTGAATTATAACTTCATCCCACTATACTGATGAAATAAAGCTTGTTTTCATTACTAATATAGTGACCCGGCAATGGCAGACAACTGATACTCTGATGATGATCCTAAAATCCCAGCCTTTGTCATCCATGAACTTGGAGGGAAATCAGATTAACTGGAACAGGTAATTCAGACAGAATGAGATTTGGCACTGGAGACAGCAAATTTCACATGTTGTAGTTTTCTGCTTAGGAATGAATCAGTGGTGCTGGAAGGCACTAAGTACATACCTGGTACATATATATATATATATACACCATATGACTCAGTTTCAAAAATGTGCAAAGGACAGAAAATGAGTAAAAATAAAAATTAAAAAGTCTAAGTCATGAGGTAAAGAGAAGAAAATGCAACTAGATTTATAATACGCCATACCACCATAACTTTCCATCCTTGGTGCGGTGGTTAGAATGCAGTATTGCAAGCTGTCTCTACTCATTGTCAGGGGTTCGATCCTGACTGGGTCAGCCTTCCATCATTCTGAGGTTGGTAAAATGAGGACCCAAATTGTTGGGGACAATATGCTGACTCTGTAAACTGCTTAGAGAGGGCTATAAAGAACTACGAAGCAGTCTAAGTGCTATTGCTATGATCAACAACACACACACACCTCTTTCAATGAGGGTTTTTATTCTTTAAACTTCTCACTAGTCTCTTTTTGAAGAATTCCTCAGTTTCATCCAACCAAAATTTTCTCCTTCTTTCTTTTGGTCCCATTGGTTCTTTCTTCCCATATTTATTTTGCTATTTGCTTCTCATTAATTATCTCTATATCAGGAGTGTCAAAGTCAAGGCCCGTGGGCTGAATCTAGCCTGCGGAGTTCTTAGATCTGGGCCGCGGGGCCGCCTTAGAAACAGCGAAGGGCTGTCTTGGCCTCTGCCAGCAAAAAAGGGAGCTTGGGTGGGCCACTCGCAGCTGTCCCAGCATCCATTTTTGGCTGCAACGGCCTCCTGCATCCCTCTGCCAGTGAAAATGGACCTTAGGGAGGCTGTGCATGCCCCTTGAGCTCTGTTTTCACTGGCAGAGGGCTGCAGGAGGCCGTCCTGGCCAAAAATGGGGTCCGGGACCCCTTTTTTCCTGGCAGAGTGCTTGGGCTACCATAGGCACCAACACGAGCGATGTCATCCTGGCCATGCCCCTTCTGGCCATGCCTCCCCCCCAAGGTCAGACACAACCCCGATGTGGCCTTCAATGAAATTGAATTTGACACTGTTGCTTTATATGACCCAACCATTGCATCATACTGGTGACTTAGTTGTTATTTAATCCATATGTCCATTTCCTCTCCAAGATCTAATCCCAAACATTGGTCTGTTTCACATTCAGAACCTCTCATCCTTCTTGCTTCCTTCATTAATTATCTGTGTCTTATAATAAACAATGAAATCAATTATTTTTTTATTTATACATTTCTTTCAATTCATTATTTTATTGCATATGAACAGGTTTATATTTAAATCATGTATTGGAAAGAAACATACCTTTTTTAAAACAAGGATTATCAGAGTTGAACTTCAATCCATTATTCAAGTTGGAGAAAATTATACAATTTCTCCCAAAACCCACTTCTGTTTTTTCTGTTCTACCACTGGAATGTAACCTGTACCCATGACCAACCTTTGAAGAACAACTTTCATGCTATAATCTCTTATTCCAAATTTTTGACACGTTTTAGTCCTTTCATTCATAATTAAGCCAGCAGCTTCAATTCCAGCCATGCATTCCTCAGCTCCACAAGATCTAACCATATTCATTCAGATTTATCAAATCTGAAATAAGTTGTTCTGGTATTTCATTTCTCTCTCTCTTTACATTCATTTGTTAAGACATAATTTTTTACCACTTGGTTACATTCCAAGTCACAATTTTCCATATGCCTTCACCAGTGGTGGGATTAATTTTTTTTTACTACTGGTTCTGTGGGCATGGCTTGGTAGATGTGGCAACGGAAGGATACTGTAAAATATCCAGTCAGGGGTGGTATTTGCCGGTTCTCCGAACTACTCAAAATTTCTGCTACCGGTTCTCCAGAACTGGTCAGAACCTGCTGAATACCACCCTCTGGCCTTCACTACTCATCATGATATTTCTCTTTGTTACTTTCTTAGCATTGCCTTTGGTCACTGGATTATAGGAGCTGAATTTCCAGTCCAGTGTTCAGGTTAGAAAAATGTTTAATGGGAATCAGATAAAACATCACAAAGTTCTAATTTGAGGGGTGGGTTTAGTTATGTTTTCATCATATTTTATGATTGAGAACAGCAGGGAAGGTTTATGGGAAGCGTACTAAAGCTACTTTTCTATAACTTTCTTGTGCATAAACAGGGACTATTAAGTATCCCATGGGGAACAGGGTAAGAAGCACTATTATATGTTTGGCATGAAATGTCTGAAGTGCATTGTGAATTAGAACCAGGATTCTAGTTACCTTCGAAGTGTTTATGGTAAAGACAATTCACTAACAGATTTATTCATAATTCATGGAGTTTCTACATGTAAAAAGAAACAATAAAGTGTTATTTTAGGACATCAGTAGAACAGTAGTAAAGTTTTGGCTAATCAACTAAAATCTAAGTATTTTGTTACTTAAATGTGCTACACTATAAAACAATGGAAGCAGCATCTTGGTGTCTTGTCCAGAATCTTCAAAACATTTCCCTGATCCACCCTTTCCCAGAAACCAAAGCTTTTGCATTAACCTGGGACTGAGGTTAATGCATCATCTGGCTCCCTTCCTAGGTCTTTGTGAGGAGTATGTAGAATTGTGTTTGAAAGGGGGAAAAAAGGAAAGTAAAGAATAATACTAATTTGGCAATGGTAAATCTTACTACCAATTAAGTGAAACTTTATCAGTATTTTAAGACTACTATAGAAGGATTTTTTTTTTAGAGCCATGGTGTGAATAGTATATTATTATATGTTGGAACCTTTACTAACACTGAGCTCAATACAACAACATCATCATCATCATCATGCTTCAAACACAACCAGTTGCCCTTCAGCTCAGCCATAAGTACCATCTATGGAGTTATTTCTACTGAAAACTGCTGCAAGTGAAAATCAAAGTTGAGATATAAACCAATACTTGAGACTTGAGGGCCTCGTGTTTTTTTACAAAGCCCTGGCCACCTTACCTAAGTAATTGAGGAAACATTTAAAAATATTTCTTGGGAATGAAAGGTTTGAGCTGCAGGTGCAAAACAAAACATTTCCATCAAGTACATGAAATAGAAAACCTGGAAGAATGTTGCTGATCTCAATAATCAAGTACTCCAATAAAGCATTAACATAATCTTTACTTCTATTTTAAGCCCAAAATAAATCAGAAGGATTCCAAGATCCATTAAACTAACAAAAAAAAACCCATCAATGTCCCCTCAATGGTTATTGCATATATAATGTGCATACAGTATATAACTTTTAACAAATGAGTCAAACTTTGTTCAGCTATGTGGGCAGGGAGCAAACAAGGAGGAACAAAATAGGTAAATGTTTATGGATTTAAGAAGAAGCACATCCAAGCCACTTAAATCGGTATTATATATATATTGCAATATTCTTTCAAGCTACTATTGTTTTATGTGAACAGGTAAATTGGCTCACTGTTATCTCCAATTAAAGACCAAATGTCATCTG